TGAGGAGGGACTTTCATTTTGTTTTGAATGAAAATGGATTTTCCACAAGTTTACCAGTAGGTGGCATTTTTGGAGCAGTCAAAAGTGTTATTTGACTGGGTACGTCTACACTACGAAATTAGGTTGAATTTATAGAAGTCGGTTTTTTAGAAAGCGTTTTTATATAGTCAATTGTGTGTGTCCCCACACAAAATGCTCTAAGTGCATTAAGTGCATTAACTCTGCGGAATGCTTCCACAGTACCGAGGCAAGCGTGGACTTCCAGAGTGTTGCACTGTGGGTAGCTATCCCACAGTTCCCACAGTCTCCGCTGCCCATTGGAATTCTGGGTTGTGATCCCAATGCCTGATGGGGCAAAAAACATTGTCGCGGGTGGTTCTGGGTACACATCATCAGGCCCTCCCTCCCTCCCTCTGTGAAAGCAACAGCAGACAATCGTTTCGCGCCTTTTTTCCTGTTACCTGTGGAGTTACCTGTGGAGACGCCATACCATGGCAAGTATGGAGCCCGCTCAGCTCACTGTCACCGTACGTCTCCTGGGTGCTGGCAGACGCGGTACTGCATTGCTACACAGCAGCAGCAACCCATTGCCTTGTGGCAGCAGAAGGTGCAATAGGCCTGAAAACAATCCTCATCGTGTCCAAGGTGCTCCTGGCTGCCTTGGTAAGGTCGGTCAGGAGCACCTGGGCAGATATGGGTGCAGGGACTAAATTAGGAGTGACTCGACCAGGTCATTCTCTTTTTGAGTCCTTGAATAGGAAGAGGCAGGAGATGAGGATGGCTAGCAGTCCTATTGCACCATCTTATGGTAAGCAGGCAGGAGATGAGGATGGCTAGCAGTCCTATTGCACCATCTTCTGCCGGGCAGCCAGAAGATGTGGATGGCTTGCAGTCCTACTGCACCGTCTGCAGCCAGCCAAAGATGTAAAAGATAGATGGAGTGGATCAAAACAAGAAATAGACCAGATTTGTTTTGTATTCATTTGCTCCCCCCTCCCTCCCTCTGTGAAATCAACGGCCGACAATCGTTTTGGTGAGGTCTGTCAGGGGCACCTTGAAAACTTTAATAGAGATTCAGTCCTGCCTGAAATACCAGAGGGAGGGACAGCTTAGTGGGTTAAGCATTGGCCTGCTAAACCCAGGGTTTTGAGTTCAATCCTTGAGGGGGCCATTCTGTATGACAGTTGTTTTTGTTTCTCCTTGATGTAAAGCCACCCCCTTTATTGATTTTAATTCCCTGTAAGCCAACCCTGTAAGCCATGTCGTCAGTCGCCCCTCCTTCCATCAGAGCAATGGCAGACAATCGTTCCACGCCTTTTTTCTGTGCAAATGCCATACCATGGCAAGCATGGAGCCCTCTTTCCCCCTCCCCATGACTAACAGCAGGGAACATTTCTGTTCAGCCACAGGCAAACAGCCCAGAAGGAACGGACACCTCTGAATGTCCCCTTAAGAAAAGCACCCTATTTCAACCAGGTGACCATGAATGATATCACTCTCCTGAGGATAACACAGAGAGATAAAGAACAGAGGGATAGCTCAGTGGTTGGAGCATTGGCCTGCTAAGCCCAGGGTTGTGAGTTCAGTCCTTGAGGGGGCCATTTAGGGAGCTGAGCCAAAAATTGGGGATTGGCCCTGCTTTGAGCAGGGGGTTGGACTAGATGACCTCCTGAGGTCCCTGCCGACCCTGGTATTCTATGATTGTTTGCCCTGTGCTGCAGCTGGCACCCAGACACTGTTTAGGGGGGGAGGGATAGCTCAGTGGTTTGAGCATTGGCCTGCTAAACCCAGGGTTGTGAGTTCAATCCTTGAGGGGGCCATTTAGGGAACTGGGGCAAAAATTGGGGATTGGTCCTGCTTTGAGCAGGGGGTTGGACTAGATGACCTCCTGAGGTCCCTTCCAACCCTGATATTCTATGATTCTATGAACAGATGTTGTTTGAATGCCAGCAAACATACACTGCAATGCTTTTTTCTACAATGATTCCCAAGTATGTGCTACTGGCCTGGAGTGGTAAAGTGTCCTACCATGGTGGACGGAATAAGGCTGCCCTCCCCAGAAACCTTTTGCAAAGGCTTTGGGAGTACATCCAGGAGAGCCGCAAATGCCAGGGCAAATTAATCATTAAACATGCTTTCTTTTAAACCATGTATACTATTTTAAAAGGTAAACTCACCAGAGGTCCCTTCACCACCTGCCGGGTCCGGGAGGCAGCCTTGGGTGGGTTCGGGGGGTACTGGCTCCAGGTCCAGGGTGAGAAACAGTTCCTGGCTGTCGGGAAAACCAGTTTCTCCGCTTGCTTGCTGTGAGCTATCTACAACTTCATCATCATCATCTTCCTCGTCCCCAAAACCTGCTTCCGTGTTGCCTCCATTTCCATTGAACAAGTCAAACAACATGGCTGGGGTAGTGGTGGCTGAACCCCCTAAAATGGCATGCAGCTCATCATAGAAGTGGCATGTTTGGGGCTCTGACCGAGATTGGCTGTTTGCCTCTCTGGTTTTCTGGTAGGCTTGCCTCAGCTCCTTAAGTTTCATGCGGCACTGCTTCGGGTCCCTGTTATGGCCTCTGTCCTTCATGCCCTGGGAGATTTTGACAAATGTTTTGGCATTTTGAAAACTGGAACGGAGTTCTGATAGCACGGATTCCTCTCCCCATACAGCGATCAGATCCCGTACCTCCCGTTCAGTCCATGTTGGAGCTCTTTTGCGAATCTGGGACTCCATCATGGTCACCTCTGCTGATGAGCTCTGCACTCACCTGCAGCTTGCCACGCTGGCCAAACAGGAAACTGAAATTCAAAAGGTCGCGGGCCTTTTCCTGTCTACCTGGCCAGTGCATCTGAGTTGAGAGTGCTGTCCAGAGGGTCACAACAGAGCACTCTGGGATAGCTCCCAGAGGCCAATACCGTCTAATTTCGTCCACAGTACCCCAAATTCGACCTGGCAAGGCTGATTTCAGCGCTAATCCCCTTGTCGGAGGTGGAGTAAGGAAATCAATTTTAAGAGCTCTTTAAGTCGAAAACAAGGGCTTTGACCTGTGGACAGGTGCAGGGTTAAATCGATTTAATGCTGCGAAATTCGACCTCAACTCCTAGTGTAGACCAGGGCTCAGGCAGTAGACTGATTTGATACAGCCAATGCTTAACAGTGATGGTGTGGAAAATACTATGGATAATTCTAGTTCAAATAATAAGGGTTCACATTTTCAAGGATTTTATGGCATATTTCTTTTTTAACTTGATATCTTGGTTACAGCTATTGATAAAGATAATAATATGAAAAATTTGGAAGCCATCTATCAAAGGTTCCACCTTCAGTATTTGCTGTGAAAAATGCTATGCAGGGAGAAAAATTTAAAAATAAAGGTTTGAGGTATACAGTCCAAGGAGTGCAGAGAGCCCTCTATGCTCTCATATACAAATGTGTTTTACTGTTGTTTTTCAGTGATTTCATATTGACATAAAGTGTGTTATTTCTGCACAGTGCAGACAATAGGCAAGCTCTGTTGGGGGGAAAAATCCTTTTATTTTGCTGAAGCAATGGTTGAAAGCAAATCCAGGCTCTACGTGGAGATGGACAAGGTTTTTCCAACAAAACTTATTAAAGCCAAAAAGACAGCAAGCAGATTTGGCAACGTTTGCCAAACTGTTTCAGTTTAAAAAAATCCTAAATGATGATAATAATAGTTCAAAAATGTTTTATTTTTCAATTAAAAAATTTGTTTAGAAATCCTTTAATTTTTATTTAAAAAGTTAATAAATGCTCAAAACTGAGGTAAACAAGTAAATTAATGAATATAAAACATAACAATTCAAACAAAAATTTCACTGTTCCAGTGTGCTGGGAACGTGAAAAAGTATATAAAGTACAGATTAAATTTAAACTATGAAATGATCAAGATATGATTGAATATATTCATGATACCTATAAAATGGTTAGTCATTCATCTAACTTAAAATAAATAGCAAAGATAATACATTGAATTATTATAGTAACTTGACTCCAAGGATCTCAAAATGCTTCACAAACATTAAGAAAATTAGATTCCCAACACCCCTGTGAGGTAGGTATTATCAGCTTTATTTTGCAGTTGAGGAAACTGAAGTACACTAAGGCTAAATCACAAAATGTCAGAACTTAAATAGAATGTTGATCTCCTGTCCTGGTATCCTGTTCCTTAAACACCTGCCCATACCTTTAGTTTTGAAAGAAATTACGTTCTCTTTTAACTCCCCTACCACCTGCTACTATTTTGTCAGAATAGCTGTGTAATGCGTCCTCAGTTGGGACCCACTGAGGCACGGTTACAAGCTGTTATTTCTGAAGAGCCCTAAATCCTAATAGTTCCTCCCTGTTCTTAGGCACTAGCATTGGCAGCATGTGAAGCTTCCCCTCCGGGCACTAGCCCGCTGCCCCGCCTCTTCTCTGTGAGGCCCTGCCCTCACTTGCCGCTCTCAGCCCCCTCGTTGGTCCTGGCTGGAATGGGGTAGGGGCTGAGGACAGGTGGAACTCTTTGTCCTTGGAGTCCAGAGCAACTCGGGTGGATTTGATTTAAATCATGATTTAAGTCACTAGTCAGGAAGACTCAGGTTAATCATGGATTTCTACATAGAAGTGCATTCTTGTTGGCTGTTATAACCTTAATACGTATTCTTCACAGCTCAGAGATAGATGTAGGTTTCATTTTTAGAAGGTATGTTTTTTAAAGTGATTTCTTTTGAAAACTTTTCAGATTAGGTTTTCAGCTATCTGAGAAAATGATTGATTGTTTGGTTATTTCATTTACCAAAGGTAATTGAAGCAGATATTTATGAAGTCACTGGGAGGTGAACTATCTCCAATTCAACAGGTTAATCATTAATATTTGGATGATTTTCTTGCCAGGCTATATTAGGAGGAGAACATCACCAGACAGACATTTAAATTGTTTTATTTAAACAAAAAAAAAACCCAACAATGTTATATATTGTGGATATTTTTCTTCAACAGCAAACATAATATTTTAACAAAACAAGCATATGAATTTTTGAATTTAGTTAAAAACATTCAAGTTTTTAAAAATCAGGTTTGTTAAAATTGTTTAACTGAAATAGTTAAACGAAATATTAAAAAAAAATTAAATTGGACTATGTCAGCCAGGTCAACATGAGAAACTTAAAATATTAGCTTCTGCAGCTAACTCAGTTGTCCTCATTTTCCTGTTTGTTCATAATCTGGAAAAGAAAAACAAGCTTTCCTGCTTTTTAAGGTTCCAAATGATTTCTCAGTTTGGAATAAATTAGTCCAAAGGAAGAAAATATTCTTTCTACATGGGCAGAAGAGCTACTGCTGTTAAAAGTGAGATCATCACTTCAGTCTCTGAATCCAAGTGCTTAAGTGACTTCCACCAGTTCACCAGTGTGAACCTCTTTAAAACATCAGCAAACATATATTTCTTGAATGGTTCACCCTTAGCTCTGAAGTTTATTATATTTGGCATTATGGAGGGATGATTGCTGGATGTCATAGCCAACTCCTCTTCTTCAGCAGTTAAGGTTTGACCCTGGTACCAAGTATTGAGAATATTTGCAAGAAAATGACCTGGAGATAATGCTTGTCCCATTTGTTTTTTTAATGCTTGTAATTTAACTCTGTCATTGCATATTTCTCTTTTTAAGATCTCACTCAGTTCCTTCCAAATTTCAACAGCATAAGCAATAAAACAGCTATTTCCCTGCATTTTGTTCAAGGCTACAGAAATAGGCTTAGAATATTAGGGTTGGAAGAGACCTCAGGAGGTCATCTAGTCCAAACCCCTGCTCAAGGCAGGACCAACACCAACTAAATCATCGCAGCCAAGGCTTTGTCAAGCTGGGCCTTAAAAACCTCTAAGGATGGAGATTCCACCACCTCCCTAGGTAACCCATTCCAGTGCTTCACCACCCTCCTAGTGAAAAAGTTTTTCCTAATATCCAACCTAGACCTCCACCACTGCAACTTGAGACCATTGCTCCTTGTTCTGTCTTGTTCTGTCTCCATCCTCTCTGGAACCCCCCTTCAGGTAGTTGAAAGCAGCTATCAAATCCCCCCTCATTCTTCTCTTCTGCAGACTAAATAACCCCAGTTCCCTCAGCCTCTCCTTGTAAGTCATGTGCCCCAGCCCACTAATCATTTTCATTGCCCTCTGCTGGACTCTCTCCAATTTGTCCACATCCCTCTGTAGTGGGGGGGGGGGGGAACAGGAGGGGAGACCAAAACTGGATGCAATACTCCAGGTGTAGCTTCACTAGTGCCGAATAGAGGGGAATAATCACTTCCCTCGATCTGCTGGCAATGCTCTTAGTAATGCAGCCCAATATGCCACTGGCCTTCTTGGCAACAAGGGCACACTGTTGACTCATATCCAGCTTCTTGTCCACTGTAATTCCCAGGTGCTTATCTGCAGAACTGCTGTTTAGCCAGTCAGTCCCCAGCGTGTAGCAGTGCATGGGATTCTTCCTTCCTAAGTGCAGAATTCTGCATGTGTCCTTGTTGAACCTCATCAGATTTCTTTTGGCCCAATCCTCCAATTTGTCAAGGTCACTCTGGACCCTATCTCTACCCTCCATCGAATCTACCTCTCCCCCCTGCTTAGGGTCATCTGCGAACTTGCCGAGGGTGCAATCCATCCCATCATCCAACATCTTTATTAATGATCTGATCAAAACTGGCCCCAGGACGTACCCCTGGCACACTCCGCTTGATACCAGCTGCCAACTAGACATAGAGACTTTGATCATTACCCGTTGAGGGAGACAATCTAGCCAGCTTTCTATCCACTTTATAGTCCATTCGTCCAATCCATAAGTCTTTAACTTGCTGGCAAGAATACTGTGGGAGACTGTATCAAAAGCTTTGCTAACATCAAGATATATCATGTCCACTGCTTTCCCCATATCCACAGAGCCAGTTATCTCATCATAAAAGGCAATCAGGTTGGTTAGGAATGATTTGCCCTTGATGAATCCATGTTGACTGCTCCTGATAACCTTCCTCTCCTCCAAGTGCTTCAAAATGGATTCCTTGAGGAACTGCTCCATGATTTTGCTGTGGACTGAAGTGAGTCTGACTGGTCTGTAGTTCCCTGGGTTCTCTTTTTTTCTCTTTTTAAAATATGGACACTATATTTGCCTTTTTCCAATCATCTGGGACCTTCCCTGATCGCCATGAATTTTCAGAGATAATGGCCAATGGCTTTGCAATCACATCAGCCAACTCCCTCAGCACCCTTGGATGCATTGCATCTGGACCCAGGGACCTGAGCATGTCCAGCTTTTCTAAATAGTCCTTAACTTGTTCTTTCACCACTGAAGGCTGCTCACCTACTTCCCATGCTGTGTTGCCCAGTGCAGCAGTTTGGGATCTGTCCTTGTCTGCGAAGGCCAAACCAACCAACCAACCAAACAATCCAGCACTGAGTACTTCAGCTTTTTCCACATCATCTGTCACTATGTGGGACCCTTACTGAATGAGGGAGGCAACACTTTCCCTGACCTCCTTCTTGTTGCTAATATACCTGTAGAAACCCTTCTTGTTACCCTTCACATCCCTTGCTAGCTGCAACTCCAATTGTGCTTGGCCTTCCTGATTACACCCCTTCAGGGTACCCGGCATGTGTTCAACATTTTTCTTTAGCCCAATGTTGAGAACTTTGGCTGTGACAGTGCCATCTATTTTTTCACGATTTTGTTCACAAACTGTCATCAGATTAGAGCAGTTCTTGACATAGTGCTCAAAACACTGAGTTCCATCGCACGTCTTGTGGGGGAGTGAGCTTGGTTCCTCCCACTTTTTTCAGAACAGCTGCTGCAAAGTGGTTGTTACGGAAGTATTTTTCAATTTCAATAACATTAGCCTTATTTCTGGAACACTGAAGTCTGGCTAGGAGGTGCATCAAGTCTGGCTAGGAGGTGCATCAAATGAGTGCTGCAATCATATGTTATTAGCTTGGGACTCTCTTCTAAATAATTTTGGATACATTTGCAGCATTGTCTGCGACCAAGCTGTGTGCAGTAACTCCTCGCTTAACAGTGTAGTTATGTTCTGAAAAAATGCGACTTTAAGTGAAATGGTATTAAGTGAATCCAACTTCCCCATAAGAATTAATGTAAATAGGGGCTGGGGGGGGGGGGGTTTCAGTTCCAGGGAAGTTTTTTCCCACCAGACCAAAAAAATTACATGTGTGTGTGTATATATATAAAATACACACCCACACACAAAGTTTTAAACAATTTAATACACAGCAATGATGATTGTGAAGCTTGGTTGAGGTGGTGAAGTTAGAGGGTGGAATATTTCCCAGGTAATGCCTTACTGCTAATGATGAACTGGCATTTGGCTGAGCTCTCAAGGGTTAACACATTATTGTTAATGTAGCCTCACACTCTACAAGGCAGCACGAATGGTTGGAAGGGAGACAGCATGGCGGACAGACACACCCTGTGTGTGAGTGAGAGAGATGTGCATTGCCCCTTTAAGTATATCAGGAAGTAGAGAGCTTGCTAGCTGCAGCTGCTATCTCAACTTCCTGAGCCCTATCATGTCCGTCCCCCCCCCCCCACTCTATATGGAGAAGGGGTAAGTGGAGGGGCATGGGCAGAAGTGAGGGGTACACCCTGATATTAGCCCCCCTCTTCCACCGCACAAGAAGCAGGAGGCTCCAGGGAGCAGCTCCAAGGCAGAGGGCAGGAGCAGCACATGGCAGTGTGGGGAGGGACAGCTGAACTGCCCGCAGTTGATAGCCTGCTGGGCAGCTGCCACACAGGGAACTTAGGGGAGTGGGGAGCTGAGGGGGGGCCTGCCGGCCCCCCTGGTTCTAAGCCTCCAGCTAGCTGCAAGGGGCTGCTCTTCCTGCAAGCAGTGGACAAAGCAGGTGGCTACCAAACAATGTAACAAGGAAGCATTGAGCAACTTTAAATGAGCATGTTTCCTCATTGATCAGCAATGTAACAATGAAACAATGTTAACTGGGATATCTAAGTGAGGAGTTACTATACCAGACATTTGGGGCACCTTAGAGACTAATAAATTTATTTGAGCATAAGCTTTCCTGAGCTACAGCTCACTTAGTCTCTAAGGTGCCCCAAATACTCCTTTTCTTTTTGCGAATACAGACTAACATGGCTGCTACTCTGAAACCATACTAGACTTTGGAATTCTCCCCCCGCCCACAGTTTGTTATAGCTTTTTCTGCTACTTCTTGCAAGTATTCCGCAGTGTGTGGATTTTCCAATGTATCAATTGTGTCTGTAAGGAAGACATTCCCTTCTTCTGTTGTCTTACAAGCACATACAACAGGATCATTGTGGACATTGCTCCACCCATCAAGACTCAGGTTAACAATTTTATCTTTTAGACCTTTTGCACACTGCTCAGTTTCTCTTTCATACGTTTTATCCAGCAATTTGCCTGTGACATCTGCTCTGTTGGGTGGGCTGTATCCTGGTCTTAATGACTGACCCATGTTAATGAAGTGTGGGTTCTCAATCATATGGAAAGGAGAGTTTGTTGCATAAACAAACTGGCAATTTTTTCATTAATTACCTCTTTTTGTAATCTGCTGGCTCTTTTTTCTTTTTGCGTACTGTGGCTATGATATATATGATGCGACTGAAACACTATCGTCAATAACTCTGACACTATTAAAAAAAGGTGATCTTGAGGGTGGATAGTCTTCAGAATCCTGTATGTTGAGGATGGATTCTCCTAAACAAAATAAGTCAAAATAAGTCAATTAATTATTATTACCATACTGCTCATTTAGTATTATGCACTGTGTTCACTGACACTCAGTACTACTTTAAGGTGAAATTGTAAAAGGAAGATCTGCCTATTTCAGCTATTTATTTTTTACCACAACTGCATCTGAACTGATAGTACCATAGAGTAACAACTATATTTTTTGCTAAAATATGAGAATTCAAGATTAGTCTATAAGGAAGACAGGCAGTCCTTAAGAAGTATGAAATAAAAAAGTTTACTAACCTGCCTGAGCATCCTGCACATTCAGACATGTTTCTTTCATCATCTTCAAAGCAGGTTCCTCCTGAGAAGGAGCACTTCTCGTGATGTTGTTTCATTCAGGCAACCAGGTCTTACATTTCTTTATTGTACTGTTTGCATTTTGTGTGCATGCCTGTCCTACCCACAGGTAGAGGAACTTCATTAAAATATTCCCAAACAGTGTCTCTTTTGCGGCCTGCTGCTGTTATAGGTTTTCCCTTCCAGTGAGAGAATGGTATGGTAGATCTCAAATCAATGAAGGCTACACTCAGAAAAGACCTCAAGACTTCTGAAATATGCTGCTCAAAACAGTTTCACTTTTGTTTCTACTTCCTGTCCCTCCCTTCTCACATTTATCTCCAGACTTCTTCTCCTTGTCCAGATCTATTCCACCCCCAACACTTTATTCATTGGACTTTTTGAAACTTTGCACTCTTAGAGAGAGGTAAGGGATTGACTCTGTGTACACAAATTTGCAGAGGGACAACAGAGTTGAGGTCTGTTATTTCTCACCTCTATATATTATTTAAAAACATTTTTGCTGTTAACAAGCATGTTATCTCTAGAGACACAAATCCAGTCTGAGAACTGCAAAACTAAGCATCTCTGATGGTATCTCCTAGACTTAGCATGGAGTCCCATTGGGTAGATAGAAAGATTAACCTAAATAATCTATACAGAAGCCCCTGGAACCCCATAAGGATTGGGTCCCTAATCCATGAACTATTGGAACTCATTTACAAAAAACTTTTCTTAAACATTACATGAATATATTGTCTCATACTATAGACTTTATAATCCCTATTTCATGATAAGATATCTTTGAGCTATAATGTATCTTAATTAAAACTATCTTTAGAAAGGTTTTCCTCAAAACCATTTTAACAAAAAAAATCCAATTTAAAAAATCCAATTTTTATTTAAAAAACCATTAATTTTTATCCATCTTAAAAGCAACCTCCCCTATTCCACCCATGGCCCCACCCCATTGTGGCTTTCTCCTGCAGCAACAACCCTGTTCTGTGCACTGCCCCGTCCCCACCGCCACTCTGCCTCTTCCCCCTGAGGCTCCACCCTCATTTGCTCCTCCCCCCCTCCAAGACCAGAAAAGCTCTGTGTCCCCGCTGTGGCTCTGAGGCCACGGTGGGTAGCAAGAACTCCTCCAGCCTCGGGGGCTGTGGCAGGGGGAGTTTTTCAGGGAGCTCCAAATCTACCTCTGCGCCTCAGTGGAATGAGGTTTGGGAAGGCTTAGCCTCCCCTACGTGCCACCCATGGTCAATAGTGTCTGACTATGGTCTTCTGATGGACTACAGTTGGCAGAAATATCTTTAACACCAGGAATTAGTCAAATGTGGGCTAGAATTACTTGAAACAATTTAATATTCAGTGTAATACAAGATGTACTTTAGAAAGATAGTCTGTTCTTTAAATCAAATTTTGTAAAAAGGCTTTAGGCTGGTGAAGCAAGATTCCATTAGATAGCAAAATGGTTTTTTTGTCCCTGCTGTGGGTATTTTTTTTATTTGTATTACCATAGAGTCTGACTCCAGGACCAGGACCCTATTGTGCTAGGCACTGTACAAACAGCACCAACAGACAATCCTAAAGAGTTTATAATTTAAGTGTAAGACAAGAGACAACAAATGGAGACAGACGGATGAGGGTTTACAGAGAAACAATGAGACAAGATTGGTCAGCAAGCTAGGCAGCGGCCTCAGCACAGACGGAATCTCCAGGTGGTGCTGCTGCAGGAAACTGATCTTTGTAACCTTGCAGTACAAAACAAGTGAGATGTTACAAGACGCCAGACTGGGAGAGTGAGAGTTTCTTTAGTGGTATAATTATGGCAATTAGGGATGTGATATGTTACTAAATTATTATACTAGTATTACCTCTGGTGTGGACACAACTATACCAGTATAAAGGTGCTTTATACCAGTATAATGTATTCCTCTTTCCCTGCAGGAATAGCTTATACTGGTGTAAAGCACAAGCCCTTAGAGTGTCTAACTCTGAGTGCTCAAGGCAGAGTTAAAATTCATCAGAAAGCAAACTTGCTGATTTTTGAATGTTTAACTATACTGGTAAATGTTTACTGACCCAGGATTTGAGGCACCATCTAATAAATGATTGTACAATCTTTGAAGTCTGTGTCTTCCTATATGTGAGCGCAACACCAAGCTCATTGTGGGTACTACTAAATAATAAGAGAAAATAAAAAACTTATTTCTACTTACATTTAGTCCTCTTTATCAACACACTATCATTATGACCACTGTTGTGGCACCTTCTATTCTCATTATTATAATAATTCTAAAATGCTTAGGAACAATCTGATGAGGTGTACCCCCCCCCCCCACACACACACTCTTACCTTGAAGGAGTTAATATAGGCCAGATGGGCTAATTTACCTAGTAAGCAGCCCTAATGAAGGGAAGCTCACCTGTGCAAGAACAGGTGGGGCCTCTATAAAACCAGGGAGCTGGTAGCAGAAAGGAGGCTGCAGACACTCTCCCTAGGATACGGGCAAGAAAGGGATTTGGACTTAAGAGGAACGGTTTGTCTAGCAGACCCAGGAGATAGGGGTTTAGCTAGAAGAGTGGAGAATGGAGCGTGACATAGGCAAGGTAGGAAGTAGTCCAGGGAAGTGGCAGGAAAGCTTGTGCTAGTGTAAACTTTTACTGCTGGAGATGGGTTCCAGCCCAGCGGCCCTGAGTGGATGATGGGCCTGGGGTCCCCTAGCAGCCACTGAGTGAGTCGCACCGTCTTGGTAGTAGGGTTGCCAAATTTCTGATTTCAGAAAGCCAAACACTCCTGCCCTGCCCCTGGCCACACCCCTTCCAGAGGCCCTGCCCCCACTCACTCCATGCCCCCTCCCTCCATTGCTTGCTCTCCCCCACCCTTGCTCATTTTCACCACGCTGGGCAGGGGCCAGAAATGACGGGTTTGGAGCGTGGGAGAGGGCCCTGGGCTGGGACGGGGGATAGGGTATGGGCTGGGGTGTGGGCTCTGGGGTGAGGCCAGAAATGATGGGTTTGGAGCGTGGGAGAGGGCCCTGGGCTGGGGGATAGGGTATGGGCTATGGGGTGAGGCCAGAAATGACAGGTTCAGGGGGGCCTCTGGGCTGGAGTAGGTGGTTGGGGTGTAGTGGCCACAAGGGCTCTGGCTAGGGATGCTGGCTCAGGTAGAGAGTTTGGGTGTGGAAGGGGGCCCAGGGCTGGGACAGTGAGGTAGGGTGTAGGAGGGGGCCTGGGTTGCAGGCTCTGGGAGGTAGTTAGGGTGCAGAAGGGGGTTCCAACATGGGGCAGGTGGTTGAGGTGTAGAAGGGGGTTTGGTCTCCGGGTGGTGCTTACCTCAGGCGGCTCCTGGAGGTGGCTGGCATGTCTGCTTCTAGGCGGAGGCGCAGCCAGGTCTCTCTGTGTACTGCTCCCATCTGCAGGCGCTGCCCCTGCAGCTCTCATTGGCCGTGGTTCCTAGCCAATGGGAGCTGTGGAGCCGGCGCTTAGGGCAGGGGCAGCATATGCAGCTACCATGGCTATGCTTCTACCTAGAAGCCAGAGGGAAATACTGGCCACTTGCAGGAGCCACGCAGAGCCAGGGAGCCTGCCTTAGCCCCACAGACCAGATTTTTAATGGCCCAGTCAGCGGTGTTGACCGGAGACGCCAGGATTCCTTTTTGACCGGGCATTCTAGTCAAAAACCAGACGCTTGGCAACCCTACTTGGCAGTGAATCATAGAATGTCAGGGTTGTAAGGGACCTCAGGAGGTCATCTAGTTCAACCTCCTGCTCAAAGCAGGACCAATCCCCATCTAAATCATCCCAGCCAGGGCTTTGTCAAGCCTGACCTTAAAAATATCTACGGAAGGAGATTCCACCACCTCCCTAGGTAACGCATTCCAGTGTTTCACCACCCTCCTAGTGAACTTTAAGACTGTCCAGGTTTGTTTGTTCTAGCTGTTGAGGGCGTGGCTCAGCCAGAGTAGTGGAGTTAAGGACAGCCTGGGATGGTGTGGAAGACTGTGATAGTACCTTGGAAGAGGACGACTCTTGTGACTTGGCTGGAGGGCTGAACTCCCTCCCACTTAAGCTAGTCAAGCTACTATTGTGCTCACCAAATACATGCAAAAGTCTCTGTGCCTGGTGCTCCATATGCTTCTCTGGTGCTTCCCTTTGTCTCTGCTTTCAGTTGCAAACACAGGAGTTTGCTTCAAAATGACTACAGTTTTCTTCTCATTCAGCACCTCTGACACCATGCAATGACCTTGGAGGTCATTAAATAAAAAAACTGGTGAATGAGAAAGGAATAAAACTTTAATAAATCAAACTGGAGATCTTCTGTAGTAAGTTGCTGCACACAGCCATTTCGTGTTCTCAACCTCCACAGCACATCTCCAAATTCCTATGTTAATAATAGTGTCCTTTATGAGGGAACATCTCTAAATTATAATCTTCTACAAACATATCTTCCTGTCTTTCTAGGCAGGCTAGCACCATTTTTGAATTGCTGTCAGCCAGCATGGATGCAACAATGCTCCGTGCCATTATGCTGTTGGGTGTGTGACTATGCAAAAGTCTGGTTACCATGGGTAGGGGATGGGAGTAGTAGCCTGTTGCCCTGGCCTGAAGAGGCAGCGCCTATGGCAGCACAAATGCACCAGCTCGGGCGGCCCCTTTGAGGTTTTCAGGGTTGTGGCGGAGGACAGAGCACGGGGGCCCACAGCGAGCAGAGTAAGGGGTTCCCAACAGGCATGGAATATTCCCCGGGGAAGGAAGGAACATGAGCTGGTCTGCCAGCCAGCGCTTCTCCCAGCCATGCTCTCAGGCAGCTCCAGGGCAGGGAGGACTCCAGCAGGTGGGAAAGGGGGCAGCTGGGCAGGCAGCACAGAGGGAGACTAGAAGCTGCCTTGAAGGAGGGCCATGTCCTAGCTCACCAGTGGAGCTGCCTGGCTGCTCCCGTGAGGCCACAGTGCTCTTCTGACCTGCACTCCCAGGCAACCTGCTGGAGCTGGGGTTTGCAAGTCCTTTCAGACTGCCTATGCTGGAGTTGACAAGGGAAAGCAGCGAGCGTGTAGGGGATGAAGGGGAGCAAACAAGGGTGGGACCTTGGGGGAAGTGGCAGAGCAGGGGAGTCCAGTTTTCAGAAATTAGAAATTTGGCAACCCTGCAGGAAGATGAAGCATGGCAGCTCCTGAGGAGCAAGAGAGGGACTGCAAGGCAACTAAGTAAGACAATGGGCTGAGAAATGGCAAAAGGGAGCGAGCGAGCCAGGCTAAAAGAACTAATCCCCAGAACAGGGAGGTGGTACCTCTACTGGCGAGTAGAGAGGCCTGTAACAACCAGCTGTACTGTAATACTTGTTGTGACTGCTAATTGTTTCCTTGACACTAAAGCTGTCAGCCAATTAATGTAGTTCCCCATATGCAAGTGGGCTGGAACTTTTGTAGCAGTTTGCAGGGGCCCAAGCCAAAGTCCCCCCTCCTCTCTGTGGCTGGCTGTTCCGGTTGTAAGCCAGCTGCTTTCTCTTCTGGTGCCACAGCAGCACCAGGGGTGGGGTGGTGAAAGATGTAATGGCAGTGCCTCCCTGCCAGAATCTATTATTCTGCAGGGGGAG